ATCTGAACTGAGTATAAAATACCTGAGGCTTCCTTGATTCTTCAGCTGAATTAGCAACGGCATCAAATCCAACATATGCAAAGAATACCGCAGCGACGCCTCTGAATATATTGCTTTAAATCCATTCGGAACAGTAGAAGCATAAAACAAATTTAAACCCATTCGGAACAGTAGAAGCATAAAACAAATAGAAACATATTGATAAAACGGCAACTATGATTGTCGTTTTGGCCACCTCAGCCCATTAAGGCTACCTTGGAAGCGCTATTAATAATAAGGATTGATATTTTCTCTACTTCACACCTCGCCACACCCTTCCCTTTACTTCTTTTTTTTTTTTTGTCCTATATTACCTTGCTTTTCCACTCTGTTTCTGTTTTTTTTTTTCTTTTTTTTCGCTCCTTTCACTTGATTTCTGGATAAGAAATCTCTCAATCTCTGCAATTTTTCCTTCCCCTTTTTGTTGGCCAAAGCTCCCTTTTTATAGATAAAGGGGAAAAACCCAATCCTAATGTGCTTCTAATATCTAATCCAAATCCCTAATATAATAACCCAATCCTATTTGGAATGGGAATTCTTGGTTCTTCACACATCTACCTATTTTCAAGTCTAGATTCATACCTTTTATGCATTAGGACTCCCACCTTAAATCAATTTCAAACTCCTTGTAGTTGATGACTTATGATTTGTATGTCTTATCCAAATCCTTCAATTGGCCAAACTTGGCTTCGAAGAAATCTCCCTTGGCTGTGATTCAACCAAACTTAATTAAGTTGATGAAAAAGAAAATTTGAGAGAGGAGGTGTGGCAAGAACAAATAGGAGAGGTTAGGGTTCCACTAAAACCCTAGCCCTCTATTCTTTATTTTAGCCCATTGGCAAAACCACGTCGTTTTGCCATTTCCTCCTCTCAGCCCTTCAAGTTTTCAACTTTTTATAGAATGGTCCATTAGCTTTTATTATTGGTTAAAATTGGGTTATGACACATATGAATTGATATGCATTCATTAATTTAGTGTCATATGTACATTGTAAGATTTACAATAAAATTTTCAAAATTTTCATTTTCATTTTCATTATGCTTCTCTTTTATAGGGTTCGACATGACTTTACTTTAAATTATTTAGACCCCAATATAGTTTGTACATATCGAGATTAGTACCAAAAAAATAAAATTTTTATTATTAAAAAATTACAATCTTAGCACCATTATTGAAACTATATATAGTTTTAAAATTGAATTATATTATAAAAAGATTTTTTTATTTGATTTAGTTTAAATTTTAAAATAGGAAACCTTAAAGCAAAAGTAAAAAAGCAAGGGATTTTGGCTCCATGGTCCTTGCCTTCAAGGTCATAAAAGGTTGTTTGGAGCAGAACAATTATGCTCTGTTTGGATGACAGGGTAGAGCTCGGCATTGGGATGGATCATGGCCTTGGATAAGTGATCTGGCAAATTTTATGAACAGGGATGAGATGAAACTAGTAAAGGACCCTAATCCTTGGAATGATGGTGGATGGGTGCATTCGATTTCTTCAATGGTAGCAGTCGCAAATGGACGGTAGGAGGGAAGTGGTCCGCTTAAACATAGATGTAGTGCAACGATGCTGGATAATGACCAGTTCTTTTACTTGATAAAGATACGGAGATGCTTCGGTGGTTAGGAATGGAAAGAGCACTTAGGATCAACTATGGTTATGGTGGAATTTGATTGGCAAGAATCTAGTAGTGGCACGATTCAAACAAGCAAGGATTTTTCAACTACATGATTTTTAAATTGATATCTTTAAATTTTTTTTATTTTTATATTAATCTCATAACTACCCTGGGTCTCAACTAATCTAGAATCGAATCGGGTCAAACCCCATAAGGAGAGAAGCTCTCCCAACGTTTGTTTTTTCATCCATAAGACTTGAACTTGAGACCTTACTTAAGGGGACTGAACTTTTCCACTTAGACCAACAGGTCATTAGTTAATTGATATCCTTAGTTACATGCAAAATGTTTTGATTTGGGTAGGATTGGCCTAGGTAACTAGCAAAGTTTCTACCGAAGTCAATTTACCGATTAATAGAGTTGGATTTCTTTTCTTTTGGAGCAAATCTTTTAAATTAACCTGACTAGAGGATGTTTATTTGGGCTAGCTTGAGAATTACTCAATTGGTTGTTTAGAAATCAGAACTTTACAATTATAGCCCTTCAAGGGTCTTTGTAAGGGTTTGAAGATAGCCATTTACAATTTGTAGGTCCTTATGCAGTACCATGATATTTATAAGATTTTTTTTTCTTTTCATAAAAGAAGAAAGACTTGCATTCCCCTATTGTAGTCCAATGGTGGCCACTGCTGCCCAAAAGGGCAACCAGTGGAATGCACTTTTGATCCCATGTTCAATTCTTCTCAGATACTAACCTACTTAATTAACCATCCCATCTGTCAAAAAAAAAAGAAGAAGAAGAAGAAGAAGAAGAAGAAGAAAGACTTATAACTGAGGTACGTTTTTCTTTTCTTGCCTAAATAAAAAAAGAAAAAGGGTTTTTCTAATTTTATTTTTTTGTTATATTGAAGAATTAACTGCTTGGCACGATAAAAGAGTGAATCTCTAATTTTAACTTCAAATTAAGGCTTTTTAAGTTAATGAGCATCAATTCAATCAAACTCTTATTAATAGGATTTTGGTTAAACCTCTATTTTGGTCTCTGAACTATTGTACGGACCCCCAATTTGGTCCATAAACTAAAGAAATCCCTAATTTGGTCCTTGAATTATTGTACGGACCCCTGAGTTGATCCCTAAATTATTGTACGGATCCCCTAGTTAGTCCCTAAACTATTATACGGATCCCCAATTTGGTCCCTACTGTTTACCAATTTAGCCCCAACTTGGTCCTTCCGTTAAATAATAGCTTAGGGACCAAATTGGGGTGAAATTGTAAACAGTAAGGACCAAATTGGGGGTCCGTACAATAGTTCAAGGACCAACTTAGGCCAAATTATAAACGGTGGGGACCAAATTGGGGGTCCGTACAATAATTTAGGGACCAAATCAGGGATTTCTTTAGTTCAAGGACCAAATCAGGGATCCATACAATAGTTTAGGAACCAAAATGGAGATTTAACCTAGGATTTTTCTACCTTGTACTTTAAGTTAAAGGTATATTAATTTTATTTTTTTTCTCAGCAATTCTTATATAAAATTATAAATTAACTTTAATTTTATCAACTGACTCAAATCATCCTTGTGGCTTGGTATTCAAAATGAAATATTAAACTTCATTTGACAATGCTATTTTTTTTCCCCATAGTACATTATCTAAAACCATAAATTTTAAAATTTTAATTAATTATTTATATACTTTTTTTAATATTAATTAATATTTTATATATTTTTAAGATATTAAAAAAAAAAAAAACAAAAACAAAACCTAACTATGGCAAAGCACTTTACCGTTACAACTGACAAATGAAGCCTAACTTTCTATTTCTTTATAGAAATTAATGAAAAAAAATATAATTATTGCATTTTAACCTTTACTTGTATGGCACAATTTAGAAAAATAAAAAAATAAATATTACAAATTTACATTTTTACT